CAAGTCTTATCAGGCATGACCCCCAAGCCTGATGGCACTGCAAATCATGTAAAATCCATAGTACTGGTCAGTACTCAGGTCGTCACGACAGTATGTAAGCTCAACGAGTGGAGGGCCAACTGTGATGTTTAAAGCTCGGATTTATCTTCTAACTTAGTAGAGTCCAGCATCTGCCAAGAGTGACCAGACCATCTACAGTTTGAAAGAGTCTTGCCATCCTTCCCGGACTGATGTCTGAGGCAACTGTTGTGGGAAAATGCACCAATCCAGACCAGGCCTCTTCCCACCTTCGCTCTATCCACTGTATGACTTCTGCCACCTTGTGTCTGTGCTGGTGCTGTCCTCCCTCCAATGGCCTGCAGGGTCTGGTCTACGTTCCTCTCTCTGAGCCGTCTACAATGTTATCTGCCACTATCTCAGCTGGTTTCCTGATGTCATCTTTCTCTGGAGTGAAATGCCACAAATATTTCCCTCCTGTTCACTGGCAGCAGGAGTAGTGTTCTCCTTCACCATGACAGGGAACAACTTGTCAGGAATCTCCAACTTTCATGAACACTTTAGTGTCATCCCTTCTCCCATCAAAGAACAAACAATTGATTCCATTTTCTCTTATCCCCTTTATCAAACTCCTCTTCTAGGTTACTGACAAGTTTCTCCTGAGCTTCCTTACTTTGTTATGATCTATCACCAGGTGAACATCATCAGGTGTTATCAAACCACCGTCAACTTGAAATGCTATTTCCTGTTTTCTGAGACCAGGTACATGCTGGGCCAGAGCTATGCTCGGATAATTTTCCTATTTTTTAACTTGTGCCTGGGGTTTGGGATCATTATTTTCTGCTTGTAATAGTCACCATTCTCCTGGTCAGCACTCTCGGATCAGCCATGGGAAGCCACAACCTGAATCAGCTTGACTCCAATCATCGGCCTTTTTACCTCACCCTGGGCCTTCTCAAAAGTCTCTTTCCTCGGCAACTCTTTCTCCTCTTCTGTCTCTCTGTGCAGCCTCCTGTTCCTCTTGACTGAATATCTTAAGCTAGAAATCATGAGAGCCCCTATATTGCCAGTCTTCTCTCTGTGCTTTGACAAATGCCAGTTCGATCATTATGAATCTTCAGGTCTTACGCTTGCAAATACAGGAGATGTGGGCCTTCCTGGATTTATGAGTCACGATCGCATCCAAACTCAGGACAGAGAACAATTGGGCACTGTAAGTAATTATGTCAAATAACTGGGCCAGTTGCTTAAGTAAAGCTACCTTAACTGCAAGTTTTCTTTCCTCTCCCAAGAGAGAGATATTCTTTGCCTTTCTCCCAACTGGCCAGCAGTCTCTCACTAATCTTCTTCTGACTTGTTATGACTGGAGGCTTGAACTGAGCGTTAGCCAGAGTGTACTGTGCCAAGACAGCTTTGGTCATATCATCAGTAATGTCTTTTGTTTGTGTAAGTCTTGGTTCTTTTCTAATTGATTTGTCGATTAAAACACCGTATCTCAAAAGCATCTCCTCAACAGGTACCTTGACTTCAGGAGCTCTCTCCAGACCCAAGATATGACTGAGATGGCTGGATTTTGGGTTCCTCGTCCTATCCGAAGGGTCAAGACGTACCTGGCGCTCCTCTCGGAGCAGCCAGGTCAACTGTTAAGTTGGCCCATACCAACTCCCTCCCCTGAACCCTCCTCCCCACCGGAATATCAACAAGTTCACGCCAGAAGTTACTATTTCATTTAGGAAAGGAATGGAACCAGTGTTAAACAGAGGTGAACAGTGGTGAACAGTGCTTAAGTCAGTGAGAACAACTCAACAGTAACAGTGGTACCTAAGTTGACCTTCACACAGTGAGGTCCCAGGTACCCAGTGATAACGGCGGCCCGACCCAACAACCAGCGATGTGTTAATCCGTCTACGATAGGAAGGCCTGGGACCACACCTCACTCATAGAACACCGTCTGTGAGGGAACTACTACACCACGTGAGGCCCCTCATAACACCATCTGTGAGGGAATTACTACACCACGTGAGGCCCCTCATAACACCATCTGTGAGGGAATTACTACACCACGTGAGGCCCCTCATAACACCATCTGTGAGGGAATTACTACACCACGTGAGGCCCCTCTTAACACCATCTGTGAGGGAATTACTACACCACGTGAGGCCCCTCATAACACCATCTGTGAGGGAATTACTACACCACGTGAGGCCCCGCATAACACCATCTGTGAGGGAATTACACCACGTGAGGTCCCCCCTCATAACACCATCTGTGAGGGAATTACTACACCACGTGAGGCCCCTCATAACACCATCTGTGAGGGAACTACTACACCACGTGAGGTCCCTCCTAACACCATCTGGGAGGGAGTTACTACACTACGTGTTTGCTGTTCAACACCTACATTAATCTGTATGTTCACTGTATGTTCCTTCACCTTTCTCTAATGAAGGCTTTTGTTAAACCACCAATGTATGTAATAAGTCATTTATGCCCAATGTATAGTTTCAGCCTTCGGGCTGCAGAACTTTTTCAATAAACCGTTAATTATTATTATTATTATTATTATTATTATTAAATATTATCAACTTATAAATGCATCAGAATCTGAAACAGAAAAAAATATTGTTAGTTGGGTTATTAAAGAATGAAGTCAGAAAGCAATGTTCACTATTTAATTGTAATGCACTAATGCAGCTGTACGTTAGATTTTCGATAAATTTCACGCTAAAATTTACCTAGCCATTAGTTTTAGCTGATCTTCCCTCCTATGACACACCCTACTGGGCATGCACCGGCTCCTGAATGTTCTGAACCCGCTCCAGTGTTGGTCAAGTCTTGTCTTGAAAGAGCTCACACTCGGTGCCGTCACAACACTCTCTGGTAGATTGTTCCAAGAGTTTACAACCCTCACTCCGAAAAAGTTTGCCCTCGCGGTTTTCTGGACTTGCAGCTTCTTCAACCTTGAGCTGTGACCCCTTGTGGGGCGAGCGTCCGCCAGCTCCAAGTTAAGGACACTCGACTGAGTAGTGCCCCCTGAGATGCCTCAATAAAGCTAATTAGAATCTACAGGGTATTCTCACAAAAGAAATTGCATATGGTGTTATAATGTTCTCTATTTTGGTATTGGGATATTACCCACTAGAAAATTGTGGAAAGGTATCCTTTCTAGTGGATTTTTACCTTTGCATCCTCCTGTTATGTACCGAAGATACAGCAACTCAGTACTCCCAGAAATTATAGGATCCTCCCTACGTACAAAGAGGATACAACGGCTACAGCCTTCCCTTGTACAAAGAGGATATTGCAGGTACATCCTCCCTCTGTGCAAAGAGGATACAGAGCTGCAAAAAGATAAACGCTTCCAGCCTCTACGCGAGATTTATTAGGTGTCAAATTAGCTCCAACTCGCCCAGTGAACATCCTTGAATCCCAAGAGAAAGTTAAAATACACCTTTGTCTTATAACTAAGCTCCTGCATACAGAATATTAAGTGACTATTAAGTCAGTGTGGAAATTCAAGTAGCACCATTGTTATTCCTGTTGACCACTGAGAGCGGGTTTTTGCCGTCATATTGTACGGCATTTTGGTGGTGGTGTTGTGTATAAGGATATGTAATTAGATGTATGTGAAGAATATTAAGAGTGAAATTTAGAATTGTATACATTGCATTACTTACAAAATTGACCTCGACTCATTAAGTCTGTGTCCCACAATAATATAAGAGAGTATTGTATTCAATATTAATGGGCTTACTGGGTGCCAAGTGTTGTTTTTGACCACCAATGGTCTATCCCCACCTTAGGTCTGCCTACACTTCACTTTGACCTTGGTCCCCTTCTACATGTATAAATTACCTGCAGTGTACAGCCAGTAGACTTATTTATGATAGGTTTTATTGTATCTTCATTTTAAACTTTGTTATAAAATTCACAAAATACTTAACACATTAAGAAATATATTTTCTTTTATCTCTTTATTTATCTATTTATAAATACATGCATAACACTTTCATGAATTATATAGTTTGCAAGTGATTGAGAATTATTATGATATCAATTACATAATTTCACTCAATATGTATTGTTATTTTACACGTGTTTCATGAATTACTATTTGCTTTAATGTCTACACATTCAGATTTACACGTAATCCATCGAAAACCAGATCTTGGGTATTGTATGTTAAACTGATCTTACTTCAGAATCAATGACAGCTCGATTAGATTGTATTACTGTATGATTTGTTTAGTTTGCCTATGAAGTAAGTTACGTATTTGATTGTTATATATTACCCTATCTTCACCAAACCTATCCAACCACCAGGTGGTTGGATAGGTGGTAATCTTCACTCGAAATAAGTTAGTGAGGGCGAATCTTCACTGTTACCATCATTCCTATACTTTGATATTGTATAATCAACCTCCTTTACAGATTAGTTAGTGTATTATGTTTCGACGTTTTATTGTCAAGGACCTTAAACTAGATAACTAACGGCATAAATTTTCTACGAATGTCTTTTGTAAATTTTTATACTAAAAATAGTGCAATTAAATTATTCTTAAACAACATTTCTTTTAATTACGTATAAGACAGGGCTCCACAAACATGCATTTCTAAATTCATGTATTTGCTGATTGTTATACTTTAACATACAGTACTTATCACCTCAATTGATGTTGAAGTTGCGACATAAAACAATCATTGCATCACTGATAAGTTTACTACACGCTTTAATTGTCACAGAAAACGGGATTTAGATGTAAACAAACCCATACCTTTGTTGGTTTTTATATTCGCGAACATTACCAAATTTAGATGTATATTACAAATTAATTGGATTTATAATGAATTAATTAAAGATACAATAATACATCAAACTTTAAAAGTATAACATTAACAATAAGCAAGAAATACAAGCGAATGTTTTATTGATTACGCCAATATGCGTGGTGTGCAGCTGATAGCGCCTGGCTCGCGCCGTAGTCACTGCTGCCGCTCTGGCTCAGATCATCATGGCTACTGGTGGTGTGTGGACGTACAAAGAGTTGATACTGTGTATTCTGGTGTGTGTGGGCCATGATGTGTGTGGGGGACGCCGTACTCAGGCTAAAATCGAAGCCATATTTGCATCAGGAGTCAGTCGTAAGTGGGAACATGAACGTAGAACGGTGTTGGTGGCTGGCGAGGAGACAGAGCTTGAATTATGGGGCTCGGGACTATCGAGGGGACTGGAAGCAGGGCTGACGGCGGCGCGGGGGGTGCAAGGGGCGCCGTGCCGGGCCCTTGTCACGCCCCCTCTTATCCCCAATCTCAACCTTGTAACACGCAATCACGCCGTCTTCAGCGTACCTGCTGCCCATACTCAACATATCCCACTTAAAAGCACCATGGAACTATGGGTGTGTACACGCGAGCAGCACCAGCACCCATACACCAGCAGTGGACGAACCCGTCACACGGGCGGCTGGGTCCACCAGGGAGAGCCCTCAAGCCTTCTGTTGGTTGCTAATCCCCAGCACAACCCAGCACACAGACTAAGGTAAGAACCACGTGGTGCGGCATCAGCTGATGCCCGTCAACATAACACAGCCAGACAGGTTACCCACCCCGGACATCACAAGCCAGCAAGTATTCAGTATCCACACTATTTACATGTATAGTGAAAGACAAAAGTCGTGTCGTGAAATTTGGTGAAAACATATGCCGAAGGGCTAAAACTTTTGGTGCACTCTGACTTGTGGTAGGGCTCTCATAATGTTTCACAGGTTATATTTAATCTTCGGACAAAACCGCGACACGACTTTTGTCTTTGATTGTACGTTTATAATATGAATGCTTCTTTCAGGCTTATGAGATGCCCGAAAGTATAGTGAATTTTGAAATATTAGATTAGGTTGCTATCTTCGTGTAGTACTATTAAATAAATTGCTAACTTCGGAAGGTTCGCACCAGTACTATCAAATTTAAAGATAGGGCATAAAATACGTGGTGGTGTGGTTAGCAATGTAGCTAGGAGTTTAACTGAGGTGATGTAACCTAATATCTGATGTTATTGCATTCAATACGTAAATTCACACTCATATTGCTAACTGGCAACCAGTTTCAACGTGGCCAACTAGCCCTAGTGTGGCAGTAAATGGGAATTTGTTAATAGGAAATTTGTTCTTCGAATATACGCGGAGTTGACAGATAGTGTCAACTGCGAAAGGAAATGTAGGTCAGTGGCGAGTTTTGTCATTTTGCATTGGCGTCCGAGGAACAGAGGCCATGGCCAACTCGTTATTTCCAAAGTAAATTCTTGTTCAGATTAAGGAGAGGAAATATGATTATCTCGCTGCTTTTTTCGACAAAACTTATATTGGTGTATTTTTTTTAATGGGCAGTATGCAAATTCGTTGGAAGAGTAAAGAAAAGACTCAAGTCAGTTTATATTAAAAGACATGTCTGAAAATAGTGTGAACTTACTAAGATTCCTTATTAATGTATAGATACTGTACAAAATGTGTGGTCTCGTCTGTTTACAAGGGTTGGAGCTGAAATTACTTGGTAAATGTCAACAATGGCACCTGGTCGTTAATTTTTTTATCTTAAGATTTCCACCCGTGTATATTTTGTAATGCATCAACTGCAAAATAGGGGAGGGAAGCCTAAAAAGTTTACATAAAAGATTTCATAAATAAAATATAGTTCATTTCAACAATTTTCAGTGAAACATGTCTGAACTACAGTTTAATCCAAAGGCCTCCCTGTCAAGTGTCCTCTTGTGTATATTTTGGATGTCACGTCGATAAAATCGGTGAAAACGGAAACCGCTGGAATTACAGGAAACGCACCGGCATTTACAGTAATTATGTAATAAAAAATATATAAATTTTTGGGCTTATCAGGTACTTTAGGATGGTTTTTTTTATTATAATTACCCCCCTTTTTTGTGGTGGAGACAGAAAACCGATTTTCGCTGAAAATTGCAGGCAAGATTTAACTGACTTACAGCGTCAAGTACCCCATATTGCCTCGAACATAAACACGTGAACCAGAACTAAATTAGGTCTGCTTTTAGCAGGAAAGAACAATTTAATGTTACCGAAAGGTATTCAGCTACGATAATAAATTTAAAATGTGGTTAAATTTTTTTTATTTTTTTTTTAAACTGAAAGTAGTTAGGGAACCATTATTTTTGAAAAAAACTTATGTCGAAATAAAAATAGACTACACTACAGTAGTTTGAACGCTGTGATAGACTGGAAGAAAAATGCTTCTCTACGTGACATCGAAGACAAATATGACCAATACATAACCCTAGATAAACACAATCAAATTCTTCCCTTAATTTTGACCCGTCACCTTCTAACCATTGATCAAAGCCACCGCCTTAAAAAAAAACTTGTTTTATGAATCTTATAATTTTTAATTGTTGATGGAATGGTGTAGTTACTTCTATCCTTGTTACGCGCTTAAAGACCTTAGGTGTTGAAGCGCAGTAATAGCATTATAACAACGACCGCCAGTGGACTGCCACGTTGGCCTTGAGTTTTTTAACCATCTTAATCATGCCAAAGTGTAGTGCTGCTGGGTGAGAGTACGTCACATGCACACCTGTTTAATTCTTATCTGTCGTAAGATAAGCTGTGATACTGTTAACGCCCCACGTCAGAACTTTAGTCAAGGGTAACCTCTTGTGGGAAAGGATGTACTTTCTAAGGTCAGATCAGACTATTTTTTTACATTCATACTATGTTAAATATAAGCCTCTTATAGGGTATATCTTCAGAATTTAAGTTATAATATTAAATCCTTGAGCAAGGGCTTCCGCTGGAACTTTTCCAGGGTGAGGGAATAGGCTAGCCACCACATTTGGGCTCTGTGGGCGAATATTGTTGGCACTTTTTTTACTGTCTGGTTCTAAAACAAAACATGTGAAAACCAGACAAATTTTGTTGAGATCTGGTGAAATTCGTGACATCAATGCAGCAGCGATGAATTGCTTTATTCTTTAATTAATAATTTTTTTCCTTCCCTTCGTTTTTGTTAGACTAAATCCTCTTCTTTTGTTAGGTATTTATTGCTTATATATTTTCACACAAGCCTGATATAGGGGGGGGGGGGGAACTGCCCCCCTCTTGCCGCCCCCTCCCCCCCAGCGGATGCCCATGTCCTTGAGCCCTATCCTTACGATGATGGCGAGTTGTCAGTGCTGACCCCAGAGACCCACTTGTGTTCAAAACAGTCAACAATAGGAAGCGTTGTTCAGGTTCATTGCACAGAATATTTTGTTATTCAAGAGAAACAGGTGTGGGTATTGGCTCCTCAAAGGTCTAGGTCAGGCTTGTCCAATAGGATTTTTTGTTCCTCACCATAGTTGTGGCGATCAGCTGCCTAGACTCACCATGCTGCAGAAAATATGTTTAACAATAAGCTCGTCTGTTAGTCATTATATAAATGTTGTAGCAGTATTTGAAAAAAAAGGCAATTGAAAGAGTAAATTGGGTTGTAACTTTATTTTGTAAAATAAAATTGATAAAACATTAATAAAAGATACATTATTTATCAGTGCAAATTTACAGTACGTAGTTTAGTGTAACAAGGCAGTCTCTCTCTCGTAGCAACTTTCTGAAATCTAGCATCGATAACGGACAAGCCTGGTCTAAGTTATTATGTTGACACTTAAGTCGAGTGATCTGGTTTGATAACACAGTTTCCAGTAACCTAATACATAACGCAGTTCTCGTCTCCGCTTGACCATTATAATTCTTTTACTTTGATCTGTCCAATTCTGCTCAGCTTTCTCCTATCTCGTTTCTTTTTTTAGTCTTTTATTTTACTCGCCTCTGACTACTCCTGTATTTTTTAATGTTTTTCCGATGTATTTTCCATTATCTGGTTTGTTGTCAGTTGTGTTCACCTCTTTCTGTCATGTGTCCCAGTGTGTGTATCTTTGTTTTCCATTTTATATCTTTACCACTATCAATTTTACTTTGATTTATTCATGCAAAATTAGTTTGTAATTAGTACAATTAACGTTTGCCTTCATTGGTTATGGATAACTTAGGGTAAATAGGTTAATTAGTGTGTAATGAGGCGAGGGTAGTGGCAGATACTGTGCGGGTACATGGATCTCTCCAGAAATATAGGTAACCTTGATACGAGTTTATTGCGTGTTGTGTACGTCTGTTGTCTGTCAATGTTTATGGGTATTGATGATGTGCTTGTTGAGCTGTGGCGTGGTTCGTCGGTAGTGCTATGAATTGTCTCCCACGCAAAATATGTTTTATACGAGGGGGGAGATGAAAGGTAAGCTGATCAGCGGTGGGACGTGGTTTAGACACATACAAAAAAACATCAGTCTGAGAGCGTATGCTGTTGAAAGTATAGTAGGACGTGGAAGAGATGGAGTTAAGAATCTCATCTCCAACAATCAAGAACTATTAAAGGAGGAAAAATAATTTACCGGGTGATTACAAATGATCATACAGATTTAACATGAACAAAAAAATACAGCGAAAAGCGTAATAAACTAATAAGGAACTCAGTTTAATATTTTTTAAGATATGGAAGTTCACATTGAGCTTTTGCGGTTCTGCAGATATCAAAGTGGTATTTTGTTTCTTTCCATATATTTTGAAGCTTATACTGGACTTCTCTTAACAGCCTCATGTATCCTCTCTTTAAGAATGTCTTGAGTTGTTGACATTGGTTGAACAAACAGGGGCTTAAAAAATCTGTTATTATAGCTTGTTATCACTTTAGTTTTAGAATTTTTTCATAAATGTATAAAATCGGGAAGATATTTTAGTAAATACCTGGGGTGAAAATATCTTATTTGTATTCTGAGATTCCGATCCTATGAAGCTGTAAAATATAGTGTAATTGATGTACCCGTAATAATTCTTGCCAAAATTTGTACTTTAAAATTTTAAATAAAGTTAGTGGACCTGTAAACACCATGGAAGGTGTTGTAATTGAGACGCCCCCGCTCCCTGTCAGTGGGGGGTGGGGTATGTAATGTCACCCACTGCACTAGTTAGCCCTTCTGTTGGTCACGTTACTTACATTGGGTGGAGCTCGGCTACAACACCTAATGTCAGCTTTTGTTATTATGATGCTTTATAAACCGTGTGTCCATGCACAATGCAAGCTTCATTTTTTCTCGTAGAGATTCATCCGGATCGACCTGGACTGGCTTATGAATAGTTGTGTAAAATGTTTGGATTCACAAGGTAATCGTAGAGTGGGTGGAAAGATGGACGTGCTTCAAAGCAAAACCCACACATTCACGCACAGTACTTTACCCGCACACCTCCATTTGAATAATGCACGCAGGCACGCGCGCGCGCACAAACAGGGTGATTGTCTCTCTCTCTCTCTCTCTCTCAATAAAACATCTTAAAACTAAAAAATGTCGAAGTTTTTTCCTTGGTAAATGATTCTACCTGCGGTGTTGACCATCTCTTCTTATCAGCCTGCAAAAACCGGGAGTAAGTTTTGAAGGTGGAGAGGGATTACATTTTGAGGTGGCGAGGGAGTCGAGTGGGAGTAAGC